TAAAATTTAAAAATATTAGAAACATTCAAAGCACATGAGAAACAGATTCCACCAGAGGCTGGGGGCAGTGGATTTGTTCACCTTTCGGTAGTGCCTCAGACCCAGAGTAGGCCTTTACTCCAGCTCCCTGGCTCCAGACTCCAGGGTCCAAATGTGTTCCACAATATCAACTCACTCCTTCCCCTCCTCTTCGCTCTTCCATTTCGATAGGTTTGCAAGCAGATTGCAAACTGTCATCTCAACATCTTTACCTTCCACAGTGGATCTCACTAGAGATCCTAGCAGGTGGCAAATTGGTCCGATTTATCATTATTTGCATTTTTAATCTGTGGTATTTTAGGCCCGAAGAGTTTTTTTTATGGGTCTTAAAATGGCAACACAAACATTGATACATAATTCATTATCTATTTCTCATAATACATGTCGTTAACAACCCATCAACAAACAGAAAAATCATCAATGCTTTAAGCAAGATGAAATTACAGCTTTAGCTTTTTTGTCCCCCTACTCTTCTCCTCTGTGGTCTCTGAGAAGAAACTGCTTGTCACTGAAGCACAGTTTACAGCCTTGAAAAGCCTTCTCAGTTGGAGAAGGATGACCAAATCTTAAATACTTAGGGTAAAGTGTTTGTTGGGCTTCCACAGTTTCTTGACTTGTGAACATTGAGTACTTTTCCAATTTAAGCCAAAAGGTGAGAAAACAAGAGGAATATCTCTAGTCCCCATTCTGCTTTCTCTTTCCTTCCAAAGCCCTAAACATCCCTCTACAGTATTGCCTAGGATGTTGGTCTATAAAATTTGTAGCACTTTATAGCACTTTACTTGTAGCACTTTGTAGCATTTTGCTTCCTCATCCCCTTCCTATCCCCACTAGATTTTGCTGTGGGCATGACTCTTAAATTGGAAGAAAGGGGAACATCTGTAATCCATTTGAAACAACATCTCTGTATATAAACAACTCATACAGTCAATGCCCATGAATTTGACTGAAAAGATACCAGTATATATAGGAGACCCTGAGCCTTTTTATTAGGATGATAATCCAAGCAGGAAAAAACCAACAAGGCTAAGTCAAGAGCAGTGTAAAGACCTTGGTGGCAGAAGTTGTAACTCAGCTGAGATAGGCAAATTTCTTATTACTCCATGCTAATCCAGGTACCTCTACACAGAGGCCATTCCATCAGGATGAAATACCTCTGAAAAGCCCATCCGATAGATTTCCCCTTCATTTGTCTCCTACCGTGTAGATAAATCAGTGAACCAAAATGTCATTTGTGGGTTGTGCCTCCCAGATGCCACATGTTCTGTACTGTGTGGATAAGACCAGGAAAACACTCTCTGCCCTCCAGGAGTTTCGTGGTCACTGACACCAGCTGGTGCAGCCTAGGATTGGTCTTCGGTTATTTAATGTGTTAAGTTTTATCCTTTCAGCCACCTTGGAGCCTTTAGAGCGTCCCCATTTCTCCAGGTCCATCAGATACCTCTGTGAAATCTATAGGTGTTGGAAGAGTTTAAATCATTGATAAAAGTAATCACTTGCTTCATTAGTGAAATGATTATCCTTTTAGGGTTTCCTTTATTCAAATATTTATGGAGTGCTTTACTAGACCCTGATGCTGGGAGGGATTGGGGGCAGGAGGAGAAGGGGACAACAGAGGATGAGATGGTTGGATGGCATCACTGACTCGATGGGCATGAGTTTGAGTAAACTCGGGGGGGTGGTGATGGACAGGGAGGCCTGGCGTGCTGCGATTCATGGAGTCGCAAAGAGTGGGACACGACTGAGCGACTAAACTGAACTTACTAGATTACTAGGCACCATTCATGGCATTAGGGAGGCCTCACTGGCCATGTCAAGTTTTGATATCTTTCTAGACCCAAGAAGATTAGAAAGATATAAGAAAATATGTGCATAATTCCTACACGAAAAATAATGGCTTACAGGCAGACATCTGACTCCAGCCAGAATTTACTGGAGACCTTGACATTGGCTATACTTCTTGCTAACGACTAAACTTTCTTCTGGTGATAAATTAAAAAGACTCTAGAAACAATAGCTTGGGCAACCAGATCCAGGTTTTCATGCATGCTATTTTCTAGTCAGGAAGAGTCACTCTTCCTGAGTGTTTTAGAGGATCTGGAGGATGACTTATGACATCTCCAGTGAGAACCTGAGAGCTTTTTCACACCGTTGATGGCTTTGGGTCATCTCCATAACACATGGCCTCAGTCATCAGTGTATGGTCCCTCTAAAACGGAAGAGACTCCTGAAGAGTGCATTTTAGAACACATCAGTTGCTCTTTTTTCTTTTTTTTGTGATTTGATTTCCCTCTTACTAATAAGCTGCTCTCTTCTCTGAGACGATTCATGATGTCAGGAATGCATATACATGGATAGCTGAATAAATAATAAAGTTCTAAAGGAACGCTTATGTTAATTTATAAGGCACCATTTGTTGACAATCTGAAAGACATTATTTCAAACAAAGGTAACTTGGGGGATGTTAATAGCCATCAAATGTATTTATGATTGCTCTTATTCATTGCATTGTAGAAAAGGTTTGTCATCATGTTAGTCATGTTCTTAATTGTACATGATTTTCACAATTTACTTGTTAAATCAAAATATCATAGTAGATGCTTTCAACAAACTTCCAGTTTTAGATATTGAATATACTAAAATATGCCAGACTTTGGGTTTTAGTAAAGAAAACAAATGGCTCAGATGTACTTCCAAGTGTTAGTCTAGCATCATTTTATTTAGTAAAGCTGGCATGCTCCCAGATTTCAGATAAGCAGAGAATTGTGGCATAATCCATATAATCTGACCCAAAAAATTGAATTGTTTTTTTTCTTGGGCAGAAAAATCTAAGTTAATTGTCTTAGCCATTTCTTTTAAATGCTTGTGTGAATTTAGTCTGAAGCCTAGGGAACAAGCAAAACTCCACTAAGCTTCCTTGGGACATCACTGACCTTATTGCTGGTAGACGGTTTATTGTACAGGAACAAGGATTTGAGAGGCAATAACTGCATTCCTTGGGAGCTTCTTCGGTTAATTTCCACATCTACATCCACCAAGTCTCTTTAGATGAGGCTATGTATGTTACAGGATTTATGGAAGTGGCTCCAGTTCAGTAGATGGATCCAAGATAATGGGACAGATGGAGTAAAATTAGTTTAATTACAGGATTTTTCATCTATTCATAATTTGCAGTGCCCCGCAGCTTCCTGTAGGCCTGGTTCTTCTGTGCCTGACTGTGAGTGATCCCGTTCCTACAGAGAGGCTTCACTGGCCTCATGCATGCACAACTAAATTGTCCTTCTCTTCAGTCTCTGTGTCTCATACCCCAGATCCTCTAACTCATGTTACCTACCAGTCAAGTAAACGTCCAAAACGCTAGCTTTCATTTCAGTCTCCCAATCACAAACTTTCAGCGGCTTACCATTTCTAAGAGGATAGTATCCAAGCTGCTTGGCTTGACACACACAGCCCTCTGAGATCTGCCCACTCATCTCTTCAGCCTTCCCTCTGTGTGCCCCTAGAGGAAGTCTTCATTGTCATCACATGGAGCTTCTCGTCAGTCCCCTGACTGCTATGGGCCATTCTGGACCTTACCTCCACTTTCCTCCTCTGAATGCCTGTATCTCTCTTAGCACTGACTCAGTTCTTCCTGCTCATTAAAGCCCAGCTCAGTTCTGTTTCTTTTGAGATCTCTCTTAACAACATGGTCCATGGAGCCTCCTTTTCTGTGAGTAGGTTACCTACCCTGGGCCACCTAATTGTGTCCCAGGCAGGGGCAACTCTTGCACTGACATCCTGTATGGACAATGAACTTTTTTCCTGCCAGTGCCATCTTGTGCCAGCTTCATCGTCCGCCCCACATGTGGCACTTTTTTGCTTGCTCCATGGCACCATAGGCTCTGGCTGAATGACAGGATGAGAAATCTCTTTCAGTCACACCTCTGCATTGGAAGGTATCTTTCAGGTAGAAACAAATGAAACTCTGAGAAACACAATGTATGAACAAGGGCTTTGACCCATAACTTCCCGGAACGGCTAAGAGCTGGCTCTGGGGTCTAAGTACCTAGATTAGAACAATGGTTTTGGCATTTATCTGCTTTATGATATGTCTCTACCTATGTGCCCTCATATAAAATTGGCACAGTAATGGTACCCATACCACTGGTCATTGAGGGGATTAAACAACATCATATAGGTAAGGAGGTTAGTGCTTGGCACATTACGGTATGTGTCCACTAAATATTCACTCTTAATTTATTAGTAAACTGTTAAAAGAATTAGGTCCCAGTTTTCTCTTTCAGGAGGAGTGTCCATTGACAGTAAAAGTACAGGACCACTATTGAATAATGAACTTTGGAGATGGGTCTCCATCCCTTGGGCTGACCTGGTAGTTCTAAGTATTCTCAGGGGGCTTGTCAAGGGCCCACCTACTGAGATGACAAGTCCAACTTGACAGAGAGAGTTTCACTTTCATTTTGGTGTACTGCCTCTCCAGCCCTTTGACATAACTGTAAGCCTTTTTCAATTCAGCAAGCTATTGCTATTGACTCTAGGATCAACACAGTCCAGGATGGGTTAGAGATATGAGCAAGACAAATGAAAACTGACAAATGTAAACTTGGTGAGACAATCATGAAGTCCAAGACCTGGACTAGGAAACAACGAAAGTATTGTGGACATTGCCTTTCCGAGCTGCTTGGGACAGAGCTGGGGCATTTACATCAGAACCACAGTGTAACCCTCCCTGCGCCCTGCATGTCTCTTCACTATATGGATTTGTGTTTGTCAATATGTCACCTAATGGGGCTGCTTTTCCATCGGGCCTATGTCTGCCACAGGTTGAGGACGTTCCCTTCCTCCCCAGGAGCCTGAACAGGCAGGAGCCTGAGTTAGACCGGAAGCCAGCCCACGTGGCTCCTGGACACACCCGAAGAGCCCAACAGGCCATCTGCTGGCAGGGTGGGAAGTGGGAGAGTTACCTTGAATTCCGTTTCAATGTTGGCCAGTCTGGCTAGCTCGTTGCTGAGCTCCAGGGCGGTGAGGACTGGGTCTTCGCTGGACAGGGACAAGTACGCAGCACTTGCCAGTCCCTTGTAGGCGTTCATGCGAGAGCGCGAGTGGCTGAAGGAGTCCTTCCGCTGCTTCTCCGTGCACTCATTGCACTTGCAGAAGTAGTCGTGGGGCCGCTCGATGCGGGCGCCCTTGAGCAGGAGAATGTGCACGATCTCGTACTCCTGGCAATGAGCCGCCAGGATGATAGGTGTGATGTCGTGGGAAAAGCGCGTGCCGTCCTCGTCGTAAGCGTAGAAGTCGTCGTCTCGCAGCTCCTGCTCCAGCGGGCTGAGCGTCAGGCGCTGGCCCTGCGCGAAGGCGGGGTGGTTGAGGATGGCCTCCACGATGCGCACGTAGCCCTTGCTGATGGCCAGCAGCAGCGCGTCCCCCACCCGCGCCAGGTTCTCCTTCTTGAGCAGCAGCTCCGTGACCTCCAGGTGCTCGTTGCCCACAGCCAGCTGCAGCGCGTTCTGCCCCATGTAGTCCACGCAGTTGAAGTTGAGGGTCTTGGACTCCTCCAGCATTTTCCTGACCACCGGGATGTTGCCATACTCGGCTGAGTCCAGGAAGCGCTCCTCCTCCGGCGTCAGGCTCGTGCCCTTCTCGTTAAACATGTAGGCAGGACCCCTGATGGCCTGGCGGCGGCCCTTTTCCCTCAGTGTCGTGTGCCGGCGCTGCATGCTTTTGAAGGTGCTGCTCCCCAACCTGTGGGGTGACAAGGCAGAGATGCTAGTTACTCTCCTAGGATCCTACGGTTCCCCAGGGAGCAGAGCAAACAAACATCCTGGAGATGAAAAAGAATGTCACAATTGGAATATTTTGAGAAGTTATGAAATCTTATTAGAAAATATTGTCTTAGCACTGAGATTAAGACAAACTGAGTAACCTGAAGTGTTCTTATACTAATGGAAGAGTATTAGCTTAGTCACCCGCAAGTCTATCCTCCTTCGGTGGAGAAGTGTCTGAAGAGCTGAAATGTGGGTTCAGGGCAAGCTAAGGGTGGAGGTGGAGAGAGTGGGGTCATGATGTGCCTGCAACAGGCTAACAACGGTTTTATTTCCATTTGAGCGAAATTGAGAATGTCACTTCACTTCTCTGTGCTTTAGTGCAGTGCATTTCTGTGCTTTTACCAATATAACGTGGATAACTTTGTGTGTGCCATGAAGTCGACAGGAGGATTAAGTGAGGTAGCATGCTTGTAGGAAGTACTCAGTCCATGTTGGTCCTCTTCCACCTATTGGTGTGCCCACTTCTTCAGGGGTTCTGCCATAGAAATGGCCACCATGGATACTAAGGCCTTTGCTTCAGGTGTGTTACCCCAGCTGAGCTCCTGCGCTGTGACAAAACTGCAGCAACACACAGGCATGGCCACACCTCTGTTTCAGTCCAGTACTATATTGGGATGTGCTTTCTTCTCATCCGCATGAAGCCTGAGCACCTACCAAACATCATGGTGTTGCATGGAGCGGGCCCAGACTCATTGCCGCTTACTGATGCCACTGATGCAGCCTGCCTGAGGAAATTCAGCTATAGTTTCTGGATTTTTATATGGATGGAGAAGCAGCTTAATTTATATGTTGGGTTTATTTCTAACGTGTTGTTCTTTCCCATGGTGGCATAGTGTAGACGTTAATGCAATACTGTTAGTAGTAGTCAGCATTTATTAAGCCCTTCTGATGTGCCAGGGACTGTGCTGCTGCTGCTGCTGAGTCACTTCAGTCGTGTCCGACTCTGTGCGACCCCATAGACGGCAGCCCACCAGGCTCCTCCGTTCCTGGGATTCTCCAGGCAAGAACACTGGAGTGGGTTGCCATTTCCTTCTCCAAGAACTGTACTAAGAGGTTTATATACTTCATATATACTGTCTGTAGAATTTTTTGTATAAAACCTGTGATGTAGATACTATTATTATCCTCATCTTGGATGACAATCTAGAGACAAGTGAGGCTGAGAGATAGGCTTTCAAGTTAGGAATAGGCATCCTGGCTCCACCTTTTGCCAGCCTTATGACTCTGAACAAGTTACCTACTCTTTAGTTTGTCAGGGTTTTAAAATGGCAGACTGGAGAAAATAATAGCTGGATATCCCATCTCTAGTTCACCTTGGCTGCTTGAGCAGGTCCCCAGTTCAAGATGCTTTAACTGTAAAATAGAGAGTCTAGACCAGGTGTTCCCTAACTCTCTGCAAACTTGAACCTCTCAAACTATTTTCCAGTTGGCCCTACCCATATTTTTTCGTCTTCTCCCACTCATATTATTCAAATAATATTAGCATGGTGTGCATTTCAATAAGAAAGTTTCTGTTCTAAAGAGTACGTACTTGGGGATTGGTTTTGAACTATTTCCCATGTTCCCAATTGTCTTTTTGTTATTGGTCATGTCTCGATGCGTTAAGAGTACCCAGTATTTCATTTAAGTCATCTGTAAAAGATAAAAATAATCACAGAGGATGGTTTTTAAATTATACTTAGTGTTTTGAGATTAAAAAAAAATGTGGTGCCATTCAGTCTTGTGATTTTTAAAAATTTGGGCTCTATTTAGTTTTCTGCTAATTTTACCTTTTGACATGCTCTAGTTTTAGCTCTTTTGGGGGCCCCAAACCTGGTGGTAAGCAGAGACTTGAGGTCAGACTGTACTCTGATCATGCTTAGGCCTGAGTCACACTTCTTGGGAGAATCTGCTAAACTATTCAGTGAACAGCTTCTTTATCTGCAAAAAAGTGAAAGGAATAATGGTGGGCAGCTCCCTCAGAAGGCAACTGTGGATGATAAATCCTGATGGAGTGCTCCTTGCTTCTTTAGGAAGATCTTTCTCAACTGCCATCTACTCTTGTAAAGTGCACATTGATAAAAGATTTCTGGGGAAAAGGTTCTCAAAATTCAACTTTATGAGCTCCTTCTTAGCTCATTTCTCTCAACAGTGCCATCATCCCAGGGAGAAAGGGTGTTTATTGATGCCAAAGCTAACTGTATATTGGGAGTACAAAAGAGATCTTCAGATGAGAGAGAAGGACTCACAAATTAGGCACAGGCATTTATTATATTATAAGTTTTTCAGGAGAGGCAATAACTGAGTTGAAAGCTAAGCAGTCACCTCAGTTGTGTCCCCAAACGGCCTTATTTCAAATGATATGAATTCAGTTTCAAGGTCTGTTATCTGGGGACACACACTCAGGTGGGAGTTAAGCCCACAAAAGACTAAGCCTCTTTCTTGTGGGATTTTTTAGCCTGTCCTCTGATGAGGCTTCTTCCCTCTCAGGAGCACCTCTCTGGACATGCCATCCCAACTCAACCAGAGAATGTACCCAGGAGCACCTGAGCAGTGTTGTCAGAGATGTGACAGTAACTGTCTTAGAAGGAACCAGAGCTGGAGCTTGATTCCACATCACTTTTATGTTAGAAGTCTGCTCAGGTGGGAGAATAGGTCAGGCACCAAGGTCATGAGTAGTAGGAATATACAACTGTTACACAGCAACAAGCCACAGAGAGATTAATTCAAAGGAAATATAATGGTACTGAACCAGGTCAGAGCAGAGCAACACCTCACAAGGAAAACAGAAGTATCCAATCTAAATTCAGAGTCCATGTGGATGCCTACAAACCTAAAGAATGTTAAAGCATCATTTGTTAATCCCCCTCATTAAACAAACAAACATAAAAAGCAAGGTATTAACATTTTCATTTTTAGGTGGAGAACCTGAGGTAGATGAAGCAAAAAGACTAAACCGTAGGGCACATGATTTCTGCACAAGAGTAGTGCATTATATAAACCCTGATCTTTCTATAATAATCATGTTTTATCAAAGGAGAAAAATAAGTGTGGCTAGAATTTATCAGAAGTTAAAATGTCCTCTTCATTTGACATGCATTTTTCTGAATGACCTTGAAAGCAGGCACTCAGATGTAGTAAGAAATAAACAAGCCTCTCCCATCCTTAAATCCCTCAGCTTTGAGATACATTTGGATGCTCAAAGAATTGTCAGTTCTGCTCCTCTTCTTACAGAATCTGACATTGATGAAACGTTATGGCCCTTCAAATCATGTTTGCAGACAGGCATATAGTGGGACAGGCTACTCCACGAGATTGCTCTTAACATAAGGTTTTCATAGCAGACCCTGGAGCTCCGTGAATTAATTCTCATATTGATGGAGGCCTTTTAACCTCATTGGGAGTCCTTATTAGCTCCAACTTATGGTCTAATGATGCTTTTAATACAGTTGTTTTATTTTTTCCAGTTTTATTAAGGTATAATTGATAAAACTGTAAGGTATTTAAAGTATACTTTGAGGTGATTTGGTATATATATATGTTTTGGTTAGAACATTTACATTCTATTCTCAGCAAATTTCGATTATATAATACAGTGTTATCAACTATAGTTACCATGTTTTTTATATTAGGTATTCAGACCTTTTTTATCTTGTAACTGAAGTTTGTAACCGTTTGTGTGTGTGTGTGCCTGCGTGTTCAGTCATGTCCGACTATTTGTGACCCTTTGGATTGTAGCCCACGAACATCCTCTGTCCATGGGATTTTTCAGGCAAGAATACTGGAGTAGATTGCTATTTTCTTCTCCAGAGGATCTTCCCAACCTACGGACTGAACCTGCATCTGCTGTGGCTCCTATATAGGCAGATTCTTTACCCACTAAGCCATCAGGGAAGCCCTTTTACCATCCTCATTTCCCCTATTTAAGCATTTATATACCTATGAAAATATTTAGCCACTGGATCCTTGCCATTTAATATTGACCTTATAGATAATCAGGCTTTGGCCATATTTTTCACATGGGTTGGAAAGAATCCACAAAAGATGGTATGTCAGAAAGATAAAGTGGTTTGATCCACAATAGCTTGTGGCCAAAGCTCACACTCATGAATCAGATGTGTTGCTCTGCTGGACTCAGAATCTTGTCAACTGAGCAAAATGATTCTCTTTAAAATGCAGTTAGCATTTGATTGCCCTTTCTTTAATATTTTTCTTAAAAATGAACTTTGAATGCAAGTGTCTTTTTATTTGCATATATTATTGAGATAACAAGTGATCAAATTCATCAAACACCTCAATTAAGATACTGTGTATCTTTTTCATTTTCCATAAATGCATACATTGACATTTGATGTCATTGAGAAGGAGGATTTCAGTGGAAACAAAACCATATTTGAAAGGAGGACTGATTATTAAACTCCCTCTTGATCCCTTGGTTGCTATTTTTATCAAGCTACTCTTAACAGATGCCTCAGCCAATCTGAAGGAAGCCAGATGTCAGTGATCCATAAAAAGTATGAATTCCACACCCTAAGTCCCACTGCAAAAGAGCACGACCACAGAGCCTTTTGGAGAAAAGGACTGTGGTTAATTACTGATGAAGCAAAGGCCATACTTAATCAAAATGTCTTTTTAGAGATTTTTGTAAAATTGCTACATGCACTATAGGTCTTTGTAGGAATTATCCAAGCCTGAAAACAATTCAGTCTGTAACATACCACAACTAAACATAGCACCAAACAATATCCTGGAGTCAGGTCATTCATCCAGGAAAACCTGGCTCTGGTCTGTGCATCCTCTCAAGTGTACATATTGTGAGTTTTACTTCAAAGCAACAGTGATGAAATAGTCAAGTGATTTCAAGTTTTCTCCTAAACCTCAGTTCTCTTACCAATAGAAAAGAAGTATTAAAA